GTTTCAAGGCCCTTCTTCTGGCGGTCCAGTGCAAGTTGTCGTTCTATGTCACGAACCATAGCATCGGACAAGGCACTTGGTTCAGTGCATTCTCGAAATCCAAGACTTACTTCGACGAGCTCATCACCTATGACAGTGTCATAACGCAGGTGCCGTTCATGCGTTCGCTCACACTGTGGACACCAGACGCGCCCTCAACTGGATGTTCGTCTCTAAGAACAACAAGAAAGCCGCTGTGGTCGGGGGTCCTGGCCTCGCCGATGTCGCGCTTAGGCTTTTGTGCACTCAAAGTATCTCCTCAGAATTGCAAGTTTAGCTTTATTCAGGGTTGTTATGATATCAGTGAAATCGTGATCTACAGCTGGTAGCATAGATTTGGAACACATTCTCAGGGTTGCATCTCCGATCTTGAAATAGACCGGTGGCCCCTTCAGCTCTCCTATACGACCGACAGCGGCAGTTATATCATAAATGTCATCGGGGATCTTGCACTGATATGGACGAGCGACTGATATGGCTAGCATGCTGTGCGCATAAGCTTCATCTGTGTGTGGTGAATTCGCTTGGTTTCCATAAGAACGGGTTGGCCCAATACTGGGAACTTCCCAGTGGGAAGAATGGATCATTCTTCCAATTCCCGGGAATTCCCGGGAGTATACCTGGGAAGAAAGGATGCATTCTTCCCCGGTTCAACGAGAGTTGCCCGGAATTTTTTCGCGCCCCTGAGGCGCGCACCATTAAAACTGAAGTCCGATGTATACTTTATGCCCATTCACAAGGAGGACAGTCCTTTCGCGGATTCTCGTGAGGGTGGAGCAGATTGGCTGTTTATCTGTCGCCTCTGTGGACAGTTGTCATTTGATGATGAGGCTGTCGAGGGCATTGCCTGGGGATCATCCTCGACGGGCCAAGGCCATCAGAGATATAGCCTCCAGCGTGTTCGCTACGCACCCCGGCGACCTCGCGGAGCTGAAGGCTGCGCGAGTTCGCTGCAATAAGGATCAGTCGTTGTCCGAATGCTCCCATCTCGAAGGAGGAGAAAAAGTTCCTGAGGAGATGGATACCACCTCCGAGAATTCTCGAACAACGACTGTTACAAGTAGACGTGAATAACTGATGAACACTCTTCGATTCTTCTTTCAGGCTGTACACCTCCATCGAGATATAGATGAGTGGCAAATCGCTCGGACGATACTGTTGGAGGAGAACCATGAAGGAGCGAAGCATGCTGTAGTGGGGCCGTCTGATCCTTGTTATCGGCTTTTAACGCAAGATTTCCTCGCTAAGCGAGGCTCGCTTCCTTTGCTCGGCAGCTCGTTCATGTTCGGAATAACTGCCTGAGTGATGAAGAAGGGATGGAGCCGGGGCCTCACCTGGTCAAGTCGACGGTTGATTACCACAACTCTGGTGAGCTCTTACGCTCCTTCATCAGTACCCGAGGAACGTCAAAGGTCGAGGCGTGTCACAGAGAATATGCCTCTGAACAGATGGTATTTCGGACGGTAAGGGTGTAGCCGCCGGCTCCATCAAGCCAGGCTCTGGTGGTGGGTTATCATATTCAATCGTAGAAAGCTTTCCATTGCTGGTAAAGAGATGGGATGTGGTAACTTCTTCTCCCGCGAATACGAAGTCACGCGACTTATGGGAGTCCAGCTAGGATTCGGCGACTGGACCATCTGTAGCAAAGATGAGCAGCTACCGAAGTTTGGATGGGAGTACTACCACTCACTCGTGGAGCCAATCGAGAACCCATCTATTGATGATATCGATGATATTAGCGAAGAGGAACTTCGCGAGCTGGCTCTCTTGGAACATACACAGCAGGACGCTGTGAACGATGGTGATACAAGCAGTGCCGAGATATGCGCCTTATTGCCAGAAGACGACTTTGAGAGTACTCCACTGGTGAACACGCCAACGCTATCAGTCCATGTGGAGGCTCCCAAGCCAGATCTATCCTGTACAAAGCGTAAGAGGCCAGTGTCCCGGCTTCGAATGATGAGTGGAAGCCCTCCATTCGTTGCTTCGTCATGCATGTATAATACGGCCATGGAGGGTGTGTTCACTGAACACTGTTCAGCAAGCTTTACCTGTCTATGGGACAGCAACGCGTGACGGAGGCGGCTGTGCTATTATTGAAGAGGTACAATGCATATTGTTCCTCTGTGCGTGAGAAGGAGCGCAAGCAACTGGAGGATCAAGCTCCCTTGGAGCTGCTGCCTGTCGCATTGAAGTCTGTGAAGGAGTACTTGAGGAAGCATTGTAATCAGAAAGCAGCAGCTTTCCTAGCCGGTTCGTTGGGCGAGGTATCGAGAGCAGCAACGCAGGGGCTGAAGTCTACTCTGTTATCTGATGACAATGCTGTATGGGCCACACGAGTGGATCTCGAGCCTCCAACCATCGGGGAGGTGGTAATATTGCCTCCCTCGTGTGAAGCGCGACCGTCACCAAAGCGAGATTGCAACCGCGAGAAGAGGAAAAGGGAGAGGAGGGAGAACAAGGAGGCTGATGAGCAGATTAAGAAGGCGGCGCGCCTCGCTCAGCAATCTGCCTGGCGGGACTCTAAGGGTGATGTATCCGACCAACTAAAATTGGCCGACTTACTACAGGGCCGTCAGAACCGTGCTCTGCGCACTCTTGAGGCTCTCGATATAGAGCGGGAGCGTCGGAAGCCTGGAGACCCTCAGCTATGCACTGCATGCGGGCAGTATAGGGGGAAGAAGTACAAAGGCCCGAACGGCCAGCCCCATTGTGTCATCGGTAGAACGGGTCGAGGAGGGAGGCTGTGGTATCCCTATGTTGACAGCATGGAAGAGCTTGAAGCTGATCTTGCCATAAGAAAGAAGAAGAGTGAGAGGTATCGACGGTATTACGAGAGAAAAAAGAGTCTGAGGAACAGGTGAATTACCATCATGATACTGTATGTCAATATGCTTTTCTTCAGTATGTGTCGCGAAGTGGAACCAACGCAAGATGCAAAGTGCAAGTAACTGTCATTTCTAAGAATTCGTGGATGTTGTTTGAGTTGTGATATAGTATGTCATGAGGTGGTCTTTCCCTCCCCTTCTCCTTTCAATTTTCCTTTCTCCTCTCTTTTTCTTTTTCTTTTTCTTTTCCTTTCCTTTTCCTTCTCTTTTTCCTCCTCCTTTCCCTTTCCCTCTTTTTCCTTCCCTCTCTCCTTTTTTCTTTTCCCCTCTTTTCCCCCTCCTTTCAGCGGCTTTTCCCCCAGCCCGTGCGTGAGGGTGGAGCAGATTGGCTGTTTATCTGTCACCTCTGTGGTGTTGAGAGAGTTTGCTGGGACAACTGCAAGGCTCCAGACCATCTTGAAAAGAAGCTTGAAGGATCCTTGAACGAGAATCCTTCTAGGATTCTCGTTAAGTGAAGCAGGCCAATGATATCGCAGACTGGGATACCGACTCACCTTAGCTGATGAACTTGCAGATGCCGTGGCGCAACAAGCAAATGCTACTAATGAGGGAGAGCATAACGTCCCTGATGATGACGATGACAGTCTCCATGGAGCTTGTGAGACATTGGACTGTGAGAGCTCGGGTGATGACCCTCACGAGAGGGATGCAGATAAGATCCTGGACGAGCGTTCGACTCTCTATCCTCCTTGTACAGTCTGTTGCTGGGCTCCAACGAAGCTCTTTAACACTTTTCGAGGGACTTGTCGATCTGAAGCAGACTCATCTCGGTTTACTCGAAGATCCACTTTTCTCTAAATCGTCAAGAAAAGCGATCAAACTGGGTGAGTATATACTGTCGCTTTGTCACTCACTGACGCCCGCTGTATGGAAAGCATGATACAGAGCGGTAACCTGCGTCCAACTGAGAGTCGTGTCTGATCCATGATGGAGAGGATCCAGGGTTCCATAGAGCTGTTGCGAGAAAAATCTCTTGCCAGAGACATCACGGGGGATGTCGTTGCTCGAGTTGGCGAGTCTACAGGGGCCGGTCACCACTGGTAGGAGTATGTCCTCTCTCGGTGATGTGCCAACCATATGGAGCTCTACTCTATCGATGACCAATCACATGGAGGGTTACTGGAAGGATATCGACATGTTTCAGCCTGAAACTTTCAAGCATCTGCCGTAGGATCCCTGAAACTTTCAGGGATCCTACGGCAGATGCTTGTCCGGGACACACAGCCCCTGGCAAGCCTGTTGGCAATGGCGTTGTGCGAGATAGTATATTGATGTTACAAACCCTGCCCGGTGCGATTGATCTCGTTCATAACTTACGAGGTTGACTGGTTCTAGCTTTGCTTCCTCGGTGGTGATTTATCCCGCAGTGAAACTGATGAAAACTCTCTTATAGCCAAGTATAAGACTGATGATCGTGGAGCTTCGGATAGCTAGTAGTGGAGTGTACTTGATAATCGGATATCAACAAATATCAGAGTACTAATAAAGGGCCGGTGACAGTGGGCACTGCTGACCACCGTGCGTTTATCCTAAGGCCAGGGGGATCCCAAGACTCGGGTAGCTCCAATTGACAATCCAACAACTGAGCTTATCATTGGCAATCGTCATGACAGTCTTATGTACAGCATCATTGTTCTTGTCATCGTCTGTACTTCACCATTGGTGTCATCTCCTCATCAGGCATGACCAAGGCCAATAGCCTTCGCAGTAGAGTAGGGGTCGGCTCATCATCGCCTAGTAACACTCCGACCAACGGCAAGAGCTGTTCTCGCAATAACGAGGCGAGGCGAGCTCTCAAAGCCCCATCGGCATTATACCTGACCGAACATATAGGGGGCCATCAGTGACCAACACCGAAGGGCTGCAGTCGTGATGGAGACTTACGTGTCGTCATCTCCCAGGAGCTGCATTATGATATCGGACAGGCTTTTGAAAGCTCTGAATCTGACATCTGCTAGACTGGAGTGAGTGTGGGATATTATCGCTGGCAGCATGTTGTGGACGAAGCAGTCGCATAGGGAAGATCCACTCTCTAATACAACAACAGTGCGGTGGCGGCGGCAGGCCGACAGAGAATTGCCCACCAAGGATGACTCCGACTTGAGCAGGAAGACCTTCTATCATCAGCAGCTGGAGATGCTGCAGACCAGCGTTAGTGCCTTGTCTCGACATTATCCCTAACAACTCTGAGCCTATAGTCTCTGTTGCCGATCAGAACAGACGTACCGCTCCGAGGGCTGGCACAGGTAGTCTGCCACGTGGCTATCCTCGCTACTGGGGGAATATGGGACGCAGTCAGCACACCTGGAGACCGCATTGAAAAGACTTCTGAGAGGACAGGCGAGGCCCTTACATCTGGCCATGTTGGAGTTGGCTAGGAGATGCATGATTATATTCAGTGCTCGGGATATGTTCGTCCCTTGACATGACGAGGACGATCCACGGCGGAGCGACGATGACGACGAGAAGGAAGAGGCCGAAGTTGAGGATGAGCCGCTACGGCTGCTGTATCGAGGGGACGGCGTTGGGTTAGACGTCGTGGCCACAGAGTGGAGCTCCAATACCTAAAATATCTGTCTTGACCGAGATGATCCGTAGTGTAGCATATGATAGGGATATACAAACGTCAACACACCGAACGCATTTTTCACATTGGCAATTGAACAGTAGCAGAGCCTGACTGAGACGAGTTCCTTCCGTCACAACAGTTAGGCCGGGGTAGACTTACGGCATCAGCGAGACACTGCCATAGGCAAATCGATACGGCGTCGATGATAACACTCAGAGCCCGTTGCAGATACGAGGCCGTATCTTCATCTTCGCTGTCCTCATCTCGAGCTGCATCGGGGGCTCTGCAGATCCTCTCGAACCTCATCGCCAAGCTCTGAATAGACCAGGTGTCATCCAAGACAGTCGGAGTCCGATCGTCCTACCTTCTCCAGCGCAAGTTGTAGGGCCTGGGCTCCTATGGCGTCCGTGGATGTGCCACGAATGAGAAATAACCGAGCCAATAAGAGCAGCACCTTGCCGCGTGACTGAAGTACAGCAGTGCACCCAGATACGGATAAGAATAACTTACCACGCTAGAAAGTCGTGGCTGACCTAGGATAGAGAGGGCTTCGATCACGAGTCGCTCCGCTGTAGTAGCGTCGATACGATGTGAACTCAACAGCCGCAGACCGAACGATGTCTGACCGAGACACTGCGTGAAGGCAGTGGTGATGATCGTAGGCTCACCGCGGAAGACACAGCCCGCTGTATATCAGCTTCAGCACTCGCCTGTCCAGCTAGCTGCATGCCACTCACACATACTCGGAGGAGCTCAGTGGCAGCTAACTTCCTCATAGTCGGGACCAAGTCGAGCCTAAGCAGGATCGCCTTGCCCGTCGCCGTCCACGGAGAAAGGGGCCTACGTATCATCCAACGCTGCTAGACAAGTAACTCTCACTCCGACGCTCACTGTCGTGTCACAACAAACTCGGCAGAGTCTGCTGAGGACCTATGAAGTTTCAATGGCATTATGCATTAGCCAGACGACCCTTCTCCGGCG